GTGTCGCCAAATTTGAATAGGATGGAGTTCAGATACAGAGCCGTGGACGGTGATCGACCCTCTACTGCGACGGTCACGGCGTCATCTCAACCGTCGAATCCAACCTTTTCTTTCTTCTCGACACGACCAATGCTAGGTTTGTATATTCTTCCAAGATGTCATGTTTTCTGATTCTAGATTTGAGTAGCTGTTTAGTTTGTAATCTGGAATTGGATCACCAAGTTCAGACACTTGAGAGATCTGTGTGAACTATGAATCTTCTCTTGTCGAAATTGAAGTGATTATGAACAATCCTTTTTCATTATCAACTCAAACTCTTTGTCCTGTAATCTTTAGGCTGCAACATTACAGGATCAAGTGAGGAGGATCATGTTAGGGAAACTATTCAACGGGAAATAGAGAAGGAGCAAATCCGTCAAGAGATCACTGTTGCAGAAACATTAAGAAGAAGAGAGCTTATAGCCGAGGTTATGCAAGAGATGGCCGTCGAGAGAGAAATGGCGATAAGAAGAGTCGCAGAGACGATGGGAAGAAATCAAAGGAACAACAACTTATACAGACAGAATTGCACTTACAGAGATCATGTGATGTACACATTCCCTAATTACAGTCTACTTACATCTCCCATGATGCAAATGCCTGAGACAACACCAGTGTTGGAGTCTAACAAGGATAAACTGATTGTACTGGTAAGTGCTTTTCAACAATGATGATTGGAGCAGAGCGGTGGTTCCATATCGATAAGTATTCTTTTTGATTTCTTTGTTGCAGAATAGGGCTGATCCTGTTGGAGCAAAGCGTAAAGCAGAGGATACTCAAAATGGTATTGAAAGAGCAAAGCGTAGTGTTGGTCTTGATAGAGAGTCTCATTTCCTTGGTGTAGAGAAGAAAATCATGGAAACAGTCTCTTCGAATCTTCCTTGCTTAGGGGAACTTGGTAGTGGAAAGCAGCAGCAAGTAGAAAGCAAGTCAAAAACTAAGTTTAGGTTTTGGTGTGACGTTTGTAGCGTTGGGGCCTTTACTCAAACAGTCATGAGGGATCATGAGTTAGGGAAAAAACATATTGCTGCTATTAAACAACAGAATAAGCCACATGAGACTGCTTCTGCTTCAATCTCCTTCATCACAGCTCCTGCTTCCGCTACAGCGCCGCCACAAACCAAAGCCATTACAGAACACCAAACTGCTGATGTGCAGGATCGAGAAGTGGCGGCGAAAGAAACAGGAAAGAAGACAGAAGGTG